GTGACCCTGAAAAGACTCATAAGCTACACTGGATTTCTGAATACCCGAGCACATGGTAGACAAGGAAAGAACCAATGTTGCTCAAGCAGAGACAGGAATGCCCCATAGGCCTGTGGTCTTGCCTTGAGAGGCTTTTGTTTGGGAACGAATAAGGAGGAAAGGGCACTCCCATTACTGTGTGCGCAGAAGCACATTCACCACACTGTCTCACAACCCAAATTATGCATGTTTTGACATGAAACTTGTAATCAGCATGCACCTGGTGAATTTTAATGGTACCGAAAATATAAACAGAATAATTCAGGCAGAAATCCAGATGCAACAAAATGAAGTAGAAATATACACACATCACAGGTATTCAGTACTAAACTATTTATAAAGTTAGCAATCACTAAACAATGGTTCCCCCACCCCAGCTTAGATCAATATATCTTCATGAATGTGGGTTTGAATAGCCCCAGTTTGACAGATGCCAGGATGTACTTTGTGAGTTGTACCNTTCACTCTGCTTTCTTTCTTATTGGCTCAGGTGACCCTGAAAAGACTCATAAGCTACACTGGATTTCTGAATACCCGAGCACATGGTAGACAAGGAAAGAACCAATGTTGCTCAAGCAGAGACAGGAATGCCCCATAGGCCTGTGGTCTTGCCTTGAGAGGCTTTTGTTTGGGAACGAATAAGGAGGAAAGGGCACTCCCATTACTGTGTGCGCAGAAGCACATTCACCACACTGTCTCACAACCCAAATTATGCATGTTTTGACATGAAACTTGTAATCAGCATGCACATGGTGAATTTTAATGGTACTGAAAATATAAACAGAATAATTCAGGCAGAAATCCAGATGCAACAAAATGAAGTAGAAATATACACACATCACAGGTATTCAGTACTAAACTATTTATAAAGTTAGCAATCACTAAACAATGGTTCCCCCACCCCAGCTTAGATCAATATATCTTCATGTGGGCCAGCCCGGTGGCGCACTGCGATAGTGCGCCGCTTGCGAAGTGCGGAGGCGCTCCCGCCGAGGGTTCGGATCCCAAATACAGACCGGTTCCCGCTCACTGGCTGAGCGAGGCACGGGAGCAACACCTGGGGTTGCGATCCCGTTGCCGGTCCCGGTCTGGTACGGGGGCGACACTGAGGGTTGCGATCCGTTGCCGGACATGGAAAAAAAAAAAGACAAAAAAAAAAAAAAAATATATATATATATATCTTCATGAATGTGGGTTTGAATAGCCCCAGTTTGACAGATGCCAGGATGTACTTTGTGAGTTGTACCGTATCCTCTGTTTCTTCACAGTTTTTTAAGAGACATCTTATTTCTTGTCTCTTCCAAAATGTGCTTCATTAGAGGTGTTTGGTCTCTTCTAGCTGTATTCTTCAGCATGGACAATCACAGTTGGATGAGCTAGGGAGACTACATTTGATGAGAGGTCTGTGATTCAGTGGGTGGGAAGTCTCAGCCCCCTGGCAAAGGGTCTTCAGAGCCCTGGGGGAAGGATGGGGAGACTGCCATTCTGGTCTAGGCTCAGCTCCCACCAATGTGGGTAACCTCACATGTCTCTCTTCACTGACCCCAGCTTTGAATTCCTCATCTGGAGAATGAGGGTTATAAAAAATAGTCTCTTAGGGTTACACCTGACTCCCTGAAGCATGCTGTGTCATGCAAAAGACCCTTTCTTTATCTACCATCACTGGGTAGGGTCTCCAGATCAAGGGGTTTGAGGTGAGTGTCCAGAAGCTCCAAGACTTATCAGAGGAGCTGCCTCAGCCATGGGCTGGGTGTCTCCAGGGGCAGGAGGGTGGCTGCAGCTGTTGGGGACCAGGCAGTCATGTGTAGTTAGAGGGCCAACACTCTTGTTCTGCTTTTTTTAAGTCCTAGAGATGTACCCAGTCATTGAATTATGTTCATGATGAATGAGGGAGGTAGAAAAATAGGATCAAATGAAAGCACACTTACCTGCCTGGCCCTATCTTTTTTCTCCCTTTTTTATCATGGAAAATTTCAAACATATATAAAAGTAAAGAGAACTGAATAATCAACAGCCATGTATGTATCTTCCAGCTTCAACAATTATCAACTCATGGCCAGTTTTATTTCTTCTACACCCCCAACTACTTCCCTGATTCGCTCAGATTCTTTTCTTTTCTTTGCTTTCAATTAATTTTTATAACAGTTCTATTAAAATATAATTCACATACCACACAACTCACCCATTTAAAGTATACAATGCTTCCAATTAATTTTTTAATTGACAAATAAAAATTGTACATTTTTATGGTGTATAATATGACATTTTGATACATGTAAACATAGTGGAAGGGCTAAATCAAGCTAATTAGCATATCCTTTACCTCACATGTTTATATTTTTGTGTGGTAGGAACATTTAAAATCCACTTTCTCGCCATGTTCAAGTATATAACATACATTGTTATTAACTACAGTCACCATGTAGAACAGATCTCCTGCACTTATTCCTCCTAACTGAAATTTTGTATCCTTTGACAAACTCCTCAGATTCTACTGAAGCAAGTCCAGAACCACCATCACTTCATACACAGATACTTCAATATATTCCTCTAAAGACAAGGACTCCTCTTTTCAAACAGAATCGCAATTTCATCATCCCACCAAGCAAATAATCCCTCAATACCTTCAAATATCTTGTCAGTCTTTACATGCCCTTAGTTTCCTATTATTTTTATTTGAATTGTTTGGCCCTGTCTGTTAATGTTCCTGATCAAACCCTCCTTTCCAGCCATACTGGTCCATTTGAAGTTCTTCTAAACGTCTAACGCATTCACATCTTTGGTCTCAATGTCCCGGCAACACTGTCCTCCCCCAGCCCCTGAACATCTCTGTCCCTTTTCTACCTATCAAATCCTTGTAATTTCTAAGGCACAATTAAAACTAAACCATGTTCATAAGAAGACCACCTCATTGCCACCTCAGAGAGAAAGACCCCTCTCTCCTCCAAAATCCTGGAGCATTCGATGTTTAGCTTTAGTCTTTTTTTTTTTTCCTTTTTGTCTTTTTTTTTTACTGACCGGTAACGGGATCGCAACCCTCGGGGTTGCTCCCGCACCACGCTCAGCCAGTGAGCGGGAACCGGTCTCCACATGGGATCCGAACCCTCGGCAGGAGTGCTGCCGCGCTCCCAAGCGGTGCACTCTCCAGTGCGCCACCGGGCCGGCCCAGCTTTAGTTTTTTTATTGCCTGGTAAAGCTGGTTGTTATTCCACATAGATTATCATTCCAATTTGATTCTAAGTATTCTGAGTGTCATGACAAACGATTTTTTTGAATCTCCCTGTAACTATCACCAAAGTATTTTAGATACAATAGGCGTTCAAGGTACCCAATGGTTGATTAATTTACCTTTGGCCAGGTATGTGGACAAAGACTTTTACTTTGAGAAGCCATCTGCTTAGTCTCCTGTGCTTCTTTGTAAATGTGCCAACACCATTATGAAAATAATTTTTCCAGCTTAGAGGCTTGTTAGAAAACTCGTGTCAGCTGTGAGAAGTTCAGAAAAGGGCCTTCCCCAAAGAAAACAATTTTTTGAGGTCATAACAATTGAAAGAATGCAGCAAAAGAATGGACCTCCCAGCCTGCAGGTGATGGATACAGGAGGGTGAAAACAGGTATCCATCTCCTCATACTGATCAGTGTTCTGAAATGCAAGTCTACAGTGTCTCTTAGCTGGAGAAAAGTTCAAGGAAATTCAGAAGGAGAATCCATTCGTTTCTCATGTGTGGCAGAAGATGAGAGATCAATCTTGTTTTCCATTTGATAAATATAATTATAATATTAAAACCACACTAGGTTCCCAAAACACATTTTCTGAATAACAGCAACCCTCAGTAATTACAGAATAGCCAGAAACCAAAGGATCTTCTCTAACAAGTTGGTAGTGTTGGGTAGAGTCACCTGATATTTCAGTGAAAGGCGAGTGGTATGGACATACACATTTAAGGGCAGCAGGATGCCCAGGGACTTTCTGCTCAGTCCTCACTGCTGTATGGAGACTTATATGGTTTTCTTAGAGACCAACTAAAGAAGAGGATCATTCATTAGTTTTCATCAGCACATAACAGAATCAGTTTTGAATTTAATTATTTACAACTCATCCAAAGTATACGATGCATTTTAAATACTCATTGTTCCAAGTGACAAATGTTGTTTGTTATACTTCCTCCAAAAAGCATTACTCTAGGATCTGGTTCAAGCCTTATTAAGATCATCGAGAATGGGATGAACAATAAATATTTGATGGTATCCTTCCTACAGTTTTCTGAAAAACAGTTTTGAAGAACCCCAGGATATCAACGGTGATCAAATTATGAAATAAACCATTTTCCTCTCCCAACAGAAAGGAAGCTCCTGGCTGCTTGAACTGGAATGAGGTAAAACTCTCAGGTCACATTAGACCACCTCCCAAAAAGGCTGCTGTGTTTGTACCTCCTGTGTGCTGGAAGGAAGACTAAGAGAACAGACAAATCTGAGGATAAATATGCCCTTGTATCAAATAAAAACATGTTTAAAACGAGCTTGCATGAAGACACGTTGAGAACTGTCCAGCTTCTATAAAAAGTTATTCAAATTTGTAGGTCAAGGTGAAACTGGTTGTGGGCCAAGGCAGGTTTGAGATGAATGGTATAAATAAAGCAATTAAAATAGGAAGGTTTTCAAATAGAATCTAATCAGCAAAATTCACAAGAGTATTTAGAACTAATTATAATATATCTGTTAGAATAATTATCTGAATTAGCAACTGATATCACAGTTATTTAAATATCACTTACCATAGCAGATTTTGTAGTTATCAGTTAAAAGCTGCAGAGTCTAATCGTATCTCCTGAAGCTAAATTTATAATCATTATAAAACTTGAAACTTTTACTATGCCCCTAAGCCATTTGTCACTGTTGCTATGAGACAAATGTTTACATCACACATTTCTGTAAAAGGAAGGAAAATTACAGGCTCTTACCAAGTAATCATCAGGCTTGATACCAAAAAGTTCTCTGAAATATCGGAATGCCAGTGGAGCATATGTCTTAAATCTGAAGTCTGGGTAGTGATGAGCTGGGGTCAGGTTGCTCCCTTCACTGCAGTTAAAATATTAAAGAGAAAGAGAGAGAGAGAGAGAGAGAGAACATTAGCAAAGACAATTCTGACTTCAAATTCTACCTCTATTAGTCCTGGGCTAATTTCACCTCTGATAGTGGGTCTCCCAAAGTTCATGTCACAAAGGCCAATGGCCATCAGGTAAAACCAGATGCTATCTCAGTGAGGGTCACTCCATGCAGGTGTTCCCTGTCAATCACAGTGTGGCTCCAGTCTGAAAATTCTTCATTCCCCCTGTTCCTCCTTCCTGGGAAAAATCATTCCATCTTCCCCAGTGAAACCACATTGTAATGCTGTATGTATAAGATGCATGGCTTAGCGTGTGGAGCAATTCCAAAAATACATTTTTTTCACCATTTATTTTGGATATTGGATAAACATTTTAAACCAGGAATAAGTGAAATAATTCTTAAAATGTCCTACCAACAGACGGAACCATCACACTGGAAGTGGATGAGACTTCAATATGAACTTTCTTATACCCATGTTTTCCAAAAAAGAGACATTAAATGTTTTAGGGATTTTAAAACCTGATTTCCATTCCCAAATATATATAAATATAAATATATATGTATAAATATATATATATATATATATTTTTTTGGGGGGGGTTCTTTTTGAACAATTTTGTACAATATTTATATTTATGATACATGAAAGACTTAAAGAACCTATCAATGAATATCCATGAACCTAAAATGCTGCCTAAGAAATAAAACATTATTCATATAGTTGAATTCCCTTCTGCAGTTTTTACTGATCATATCCTTAGAGGCATCCACCCACCCAAATTTTGATATTTATCAATCTCATCATTTTTATCCTTTGACTCCGTACAATATTACATTTGGACATGACCTCAGACAAACCACATAATCTATACATACTTCAATCAGAAAAATGCAGTAGAATAATTCAATTTTATGTAAAGGTTCCAGATCTCTTTGTACTACATTCCAGGTGGGACATTGAGGGTCTACGTAAGTTTATCATGTTTTGCTTTTTGTTTTTCATACTGTGCAAATAAAAGGGCTTTGAGCACACAACAAACACCTCTACCACAATTTAAGTTTGTTGAGGTCAATCAGATTTTTGTGTCAGTGCCTGACATATAGTAGACACTCAATAAGTATTTGTTGAGTGAATGAATGAATTTTCAAAATAACGCTAACACAGTAGAGTTGATTCTTACGTGGAGATAAGGTTCGAAAGTAATATACAAGGCAAAAATTCCACATAGTAAAAAATCACCCATGAAAACCGTTTAGAAACAATCTATTCAATATATTCAATATGGCCAGTTTTTACTCCTGCACGGTTACAGATGACTGCTCCTTTTGGTGAGTACCAGAGTAAGGAGTTGGCTTGTATATTAGGGGCCATAATCATAACATAAATGCTTATCTTTAAAGGCTAGGATTACACTCAGGCAGCAGCAAGGCATACATGTGAGGACAGAGATACAGAAACTAAGGCTAAGAGAGGAGCAGTCACAGCTCCATCTCAGGCTTATTGTATGCAATGGCCCCCAAACCACATGCTCATTTAAATGGTTATTGTTTCTCTAAGCAAGTACAGTCTAACATTCATAATGTATGTATGATGCATTTTTCACATTATATATACTATAATACGCCTCCATGGTCTTTGTAATTATCATTTTAATGACTGTACTCCACTGGGTTGATGTATCATAATTTACTAAACTCTACTGTAAGACATTTTCAGTTTTTCATTGATATGAATAATACTGCAGAGAATGTCTTCATGAATAAAGGCTGTGTGAGTTTTAGATTTTTTTCTTAGGATGAATTCACAACCTACAGGTCTCTTATGTTCCAAAAATTAGAAAATGGTTTGCAGCCTTCATTTCTAGAGAGACCAGATAGATAATTTAAACATGTGAAGCAGGCCAATAAATATGGCAGCGTGAGTCAGTGCTTATCTTAGCCCTGACGGCATTCCCTTAACTTACTGCCCTGACTACTGATCTTGCTGCCTCCATCCATTCATTCATTCATCTGAGGTTATACAATCTTGAACTTATTTGCATGAATGGTGAGGAACATTCCCAAATAGTGGCTCCCAGAAATTAGGTTCATATTACATCACCACTTTTGTCTGTTTGTTTTCTCTCCTAGTAGATTTTACCTTATAAATTCTGCTTTCCTTTAACCAATATTAAGACTAGTTTGCACTCCCTTAAGTCATACTGGATACCCTGCACTGTAGGTAAGAGCATGGGTTTTAGAGTCCGGGGAGACTTGGGCTCAAGTTCCATCTCTGCACTTATAAGCTGTGTTCATGAGACCCAGGACCAACCCTCTCCAAACACAAGGCTAAAGTGAATAGCAATGTGCCTGGCCCATGGGGAGCCCTCAATACATGTGGATGATTGAGGCTGTATGACAGTGGGAAGCAGCCCAGAGTTAAATACTCCACGTGAAGCATGACTTGATGGTGTGTTTTAGTTTTTTGTTTTTTTTAAATGAGGAAAAATAAAATAACAAAATGGGGAAATATTTGCAACTCATATTATAGTCAAAAGGCTAATCTTCCAATATAAAGAGCTCCAATAAACTGAAGAAAAAAAAAAGACTAAAAGTTAATTAAAAAAATAACAAGGGATATAATCAGGTACTTCACAGAAATGGAAATGTATATAACTTAAACACGTAAAAAGATGTTCAACTTCATAATAAATGTCACTGAGAGAATGTTTTTACCTATAAGATTGGTGAAAATCCAAAACTTTGCTGTAGCTCAAGGGAAATTGGCACCCTGAAATATTATTAGTGGGAATGTAAATTAATACTTTTCCTATAAAGGACATTTTCACGACTTCTATCAAAATTATAAATGTACACCGCTCCAGGGCCCTGAGACGTGGAGCCAGGGGAAGCTGAACCCAGCAGCAACTAGGCAAGCTGCTGCCATGGCCCCGGGCCCTGCTGGGGTGCTGAGTCAAGGAGCCAGGCAAAGCTGAACCCAGCCAACCAGGTAGAGAGCACACCAGAAACACCATTTTCACAAGGGGCCCTCCACAGCCACTGCAATTGCCATGGCTGCTGCAAAAGCGCTTAGTCTCTATTGCAGCAGTCACAGCCACCGTGCAGATGGCACGCCAGACTCTGAATTTCAATAACACAAGGAGAGGCACCAGTGGAGACCAAAAATAAAAAAAAATAAATAAAAAGAGAAGAGGTCCTCTCTGACTACAAAGCACACTCCAGAGTAATAGAAGCAGCATTTGATTTATAATAATAGGGGAAGGACTTGATCACACCTGTCTCAGTACTGGACAGAACATCTAGGCAACAAATCAACAGAGGAACAGTTAACCTATCAGATGGAGAGAACAAATCTATGGTTATTAGAGGAGGGAGGGGAGAGATTGGATAAGGGGCATAAAGAATAACTATGATTTGTAACAATGAATATGCTAATAAAAAATTTTAAAAATTAAAATAAATAAATAAATAAATAAATAAATAAATAAATGTCCACCGGTAAGGAAATGGTTACATGGAAAAAAAATCACAAACTTATATAACTCTTTGATCCAGCACAAGCATACCTTTAAGTTATTCTACAGATAAACTAGCACATATACAAAACAACATGTGTACATGGTTGTTCGTTATAGCACTGTTTGTAAAGACAAAGGATCCGAAGCAACCTAGATGTGCCTCAGAAGAGGACTGATCAAATTAATTGTGATTCAGCTACAGAATGTAATGTTATGCAGCACTAAAAAAATGAAAATGCTTATTCTGTATTGACATGGCGAGACCTCTAGGATAAAATTAAGTGAATGAAGCATGATGCAGATTGCTGTGTATGGCATGACACCATTTATACAGAAAAGGAAAAATATTATCTTGGTATGTATGCATAAAAAAATAATTGAGGTAAAAATAAGTCACTAGTAATAGTGATAACTGGAGTTGGACACTGGATTAAAAAGGCACAGGGACTAAAGAAACACCCTTCACAGCTCTTTTAAAAACAGGAAAGTCCTACTATGCATTATTACTCACAAAATTAAATAATTTTTAAAAGTTAGGGGTTAAAAGCCATAAGTTTATCCCCCCCTCTTTCCCCAAACAGAGCTCTATATGCTCAGTACCACAGCAGAAGTTTTGTTTACCTCTGCATATTTAAGCTGCTCCAATGAATAACAATACTGACATAATTGAAGCTTTAGTGAAAGAAATGCAAATTAATGACATTGCTGGCCCCTTAATAAGATTGCTGGCCCTGGCTGGGCCTCTGTATTTGTCAAGAGCGGAGCCAAACAGCAAATCCAGTGAGGACCAGCCAGCAGACACCAGTCCTGGTTTTCTGAGGTCACACACTGGCTGACTTACTGTGTGTGGATGTAGTGCTGGCCTACAGACATTCCAGCACACTGTCTCCTCGGCGCAGGGACCAAGTGCTTAGCAATCTCCAGCCATGGCAGAACTGCTGGGCAGTTAAACACAAGGACTACAATTAACATTAGTCTGCTAAAATCTCCTGCCTGAGCCTGGAGTTCCCTGTCAGGAGACTAAGCCCAGCATCCAGACTTAAACTCTGCAAAACTGAAGTCTGAAGAAGAGGAGACTTTGCAGTTTAAGACTTACCTTATATTTCATAAATGAATATATGTAGTATGTGAAAAAAACAACAACCGACTTTCCTGTCTTGGCATAGATTGAGGCTTTGGAAATTTCAGCTGTGGAGTTTCGAGCCATGGTTCTAGACATTTGGATTTTATGGGCCAGTAAAATTTCAACAACAAAAATTTGGAAGCTGACATTTGATTTCCAACTTTATTTAGCCAAGTTAGAAACTAAACAATTAAGCAAACACACAGTACAACTCCTATCCTATCATAAAAGGACGGTTTAGCTTTAAAAAAACAGGTAGAAAATTTGAAATAAAGAACAGTATTTTCTCTATCTTATCCTTCCCCGCATCATTCACCAAGAAGTAGTCA